CTTGAGCACTACCATTGCAGAGAATTTAATGTCGAGCCATATTTTAATCCGGTTTTAGAATATTCTTCTATCTACATATGATATTGTATTAAAGACGTATATGTTCATACGTATGTCCTTGTGTCTTTCTGTACATGAACTTGAATTTATTTCGTGCAGTTTATTCAGACTGGTAGGTTTTGATTGATAAAACGTTAATACAGGTAGTGTTACACTATAGCACTTCAATAATAATTATGTTTAAGAAATAATCGACGAATGTGCGTGTATTACGGTGGAATATATAACGAGGGTAAGAAAATGTTGGAAAAAATAATTATTGAAGGCGCTTAGTTGTTTATTTTCCAATACTTCCGAATTCCGAGTTATATTTTTCACCATAATCTACAAACATATGTTGATTATATCTATTCTAATAAGGAAAATGTTATGATTTTTTTTGTGTCTACTCCACTGTCCATACCTCTATGATAAGCAAGGTGACGTATTTTTTTATTTTATTTTTTAAATAAAGCTGTTCTCCTGTAATAGGTTTTATAATCTATTTAATAGCTATATAAGGTAATAGGACGTGACTCTATTGTGTCATCTACTAAGGTATGTGTATCTGTGTACGATACCTAGGTGTATTTTCCTTCTTGCGATGGCGTGAATATGATGGCGAATTCATAGTGTTTCCTCACTGAAACACCAATCCGAAGGAACCAAGCACTGAATTCCGCCCGGTCACATTATACAGATAATGGAGGTGGTTTTAATTACCCTAAATGCTGAACGTTTAGCAGGGAATACAATCTTCGATATTAAAGAAATTTGGAAGGTCCCGGAATAGCGGCAAATTATAAAATATCGTTAATGCCTTTACCGGCGACCTCAGCTTTGTTAAAAAAATAAACTCCGAAGGGAAGAAATATCGCCAAGCATCAAACGTTAACTATGTAAGAAAATGGGCAAAATGGGAAAAAAGTTAAAGGTCGACACTTTTTCCCGAATGGTTTAAATCTATAAACCAAGTTAAACATGTTCGGCAAGGTTAAAGACAAATATTTGTTCTTTATTCTTTCTGGATAAAGAATGTTTATGTAACCGTCAAAACAAGTATATAGTTGTACCAAGCCAATTACAATGCTCTTTGCCTATAAATACTTTGTATAAACCTTATTTGTGAATAGCTCTCTGTTGAATACAAGATAAGTTTACTCAAGTACCAACGACACTTTCTATAGACATGATATTGACCAATCATTGTTCGATCTCTAACAATTTGGTGTATCAAATAACTAAACTAAACAGACAAACAATGGCTTTGTACGGAACGTTTCTCATATTTGTTTTAACCACTTAATCATTGAACTGCTTTCAGTTGGCATTCATGGTTATATGAATGCCTACTGTAAATGACAAATTCATGACAAACGCGCTTTATTTTGAGTATGTCACTTCAAGCTGGCAATCATATATTGGCTATGGATGCAATGTGACTGCAGTTCTTAACTCATATTTACCGTTTTTGTAATAGTTTTTCAATCTCGTTCATAAAAGTAAAAGGTATAGTTCGTATTTGCTTATTTATCATTTACGCTTGTGCAATGAACAGAAAGTTATCTTCCATGGAGGGTCAGTGATACCCAAAGTTACCATTATGACGTCATGATACAGATGGCGACAACAATCTGTTTTATCTTATAGAAGATGTAAATCACATTTTGTCACTTAATGGTGACGCTGTGGCATATATCTCTTACGTTACATTAAACGTTAGTCATCTTTTTCACTGTGTGTTAACGCTGTGATTAATATTTTCTTATTCTACTTTACGGAAGACCTAAATGATCTTTTCATTGTGTGCTGACGCTGTGATCTATACATTTTATATATAATCCTGCTGTATCCCGCTGCATGCTGTAAGAGTCGACTAACGTGCCCCTCCCCCATCCCCTCATCAGGGATTTTCTTCCGGGTCTTCTACGTTGAGGACATTAAAGCCACAATTGGGATCTATATCGTGTCTTTTTTACTTCTCCACTCTTTCCTACCGGTGGTATCTCCTTATGCACCCGTCTTCCCATAACCTTGACTGTGGTCTGGACATTAAACCACATACAAACAAACACGCTGTACCGTCGGACATAAAAATTGTCATTAAGCGTAGTATTAAAACAAATTTATGATGCACCAAGCTAGAATTGTGTTTGATATTGGTATTATTATGCATCTATTTGCAATCCATTGTTGATCGTTATGATAATAAATAATTTATGATACTGAAAATTTGATTGCCATTGATGTTTATAAAATTATTTACATTTTACATATTTTCATAGTTTGATATACCTGTATTCCTCTTCTTTTTTTGGTCTAGATTTGTCTGGATATCAACAATTTCTATACGGGATTTGTGTCAGTTCGAAACCCGATCTGTCTCCGTTTCCTTGTTACCCTCGGAACACTTATTAAGTTACAAAAGATAAAGGGTTCTGTAAGGTATAGATTTCTTTCAGAAATGATTTATTAAAGCTATTGTCATACCTGTAAAATCTTTCTAATTCATAGTTACATTTTTTGGCAGTGGTTAGGGGATCCTGAACCGATGCTATAGGTCCAAAGTTATTTCATACTGGAACCACATAGATCAAAACTCTGTCGTTTATCTTTTTTTAAAGATATGTCTTGTGCATCTTGTTTTCGATTGAGAAAATTCGTCAATGTTTTCATGTTAGAGTGATAAATGCAAACTATAAACAATGCCATAAATCTGCTGACATAATGCCATAAATGCCATACATGTCATAATGCTACTATTTTGATGCAACCTTTACGAAACAGTATTTTGTTGTAAGCATGCAACATATAAGAAAATATCCGTCTTGGTAAAACATTTAACCTATACTAATGTGCCTCTCTATACAGACAAGTAGGAACTGTATGTTGCCAGAAGGATAACTACACCGAATCCCAGTACAAGGCCAATGTTCTGATAGAAAAACACTGTCATAGTACCGTCCTTACCAGCCCTGGCAGCAAATTTGGCTTGATTATTCATTTCCGGAATCTACAAGTTGAAAAAACATTACACGAATAGGACATAGAAATATGAGCTGATTAATTTTCATATACAAGATACTAAATAAGGTAAGAACAACATTATATCTTTTAATTACCATGTTTTACATTTAAAGAAAAATATCTGGATACATGGCAATCAATATGGGGAAGTCATTATACAATGCAAGGCTTTAAGATTTTCCTTATAATGATTCAAAATTTGATCGCTGTGGATGATTTATCATTAAAGCACTTTTTCATGGAAATAGTGCCAAAAGAGCTGCATCGTTACTAGAGCGTATGTTGAACATTCTTCTATATACCCATTATATGTAGGTCAGAGCTATATTGATAATATACCCTCATATACTCACCATATCAGCCAGCGCTATATAGATAAATAATCCTCCAGAGAAGGCGAAGACATATGTATTTGCGTCTGTGTTCTCTCCCACAATGATCCCGATCACCAATCCCATATATATTGTCACCGCGGCCAGGAAGTTTAGAAGTAAGGCTCGTTTGATTGTCATCCCGCTGTGTAACAAAATGGCTATATCGCCTGGCATAATAGAAAACAATCTTATCAAACATAATATTGCAAGATGTCTGTTTGAGAGATGAACGTGACACACCCACATGGTGATGCACCTTTCAGATTTGTTTATAGATATATTATGCCAAAAATGCATTGCACTATAGCATACAGCTTTATCGTCCTTCTAGCACTCATAGGTTTTTCTGGGGGAAGACACCTTAATAATATGAAATTCAATAATTTAAGGAGTATTGGGTAATTTCAAATTAATACTGATTTAAGTGTGTAAATGGTTATATCTACCTGTCTTTTGTGTTTACATATTAAAACTTTTGGCCACAACAGATCATCTATCCTTATACAGGTGTTTCATATAAAATGTCAGAATGAAAATCCAACTGCAAGGCTTCAGCCAACTTTGAGGACTGACCAGTAAAGTCAACTATTTTAATACGTATAACAGTAACAAGTTATACGAGGAAATGGAACACCTATTTGAGAATTTGATTGTAGATACAGAAAACATCACTAAGCAACAACATTTTAATGCACCATATAACCATTTCAGCCATTTTTACATCATTACCTGAGGCAACAAGAATAAAACATCTATAACTAAAGTGTTCCGCAATTATGTTTCCAATGTCTGTCTTTATTAATGTAATTTCATATCTTACTTTCAAGCACTATTAGATTCATGTTTTCTGTGTTCGTTTTTATCACAACCAGCCTTGCCAACCAGTAAAATCCCCTGTCAAGTTGAAGAGGTCTATTAGGTACGGAATAAGAACATACCCAATTCGTGTGGAAGTTCTTCGCTGAGGATGGCCAGGGAAACACTAACTCCCATTGCTACACTTTCCGTGTAGGCGGCTCCCATGGCGATACCATCCGAAAAATTGTGGAGGGCGTCTCCAAGTAAAAGCGTCCAGGCTACAGCAGCAACACCCCCTTCTTGCTTCACATGAGAATGGCCAGGGAAGTCGCCGTTTTCTAAACCATTTAGTTCTGTCGTGTCTACGCATAATTCGCGTTTCTTTTTCTGAAATAGCATAAAACTCGTAGTGATAGTGTTTTTGACATAATTATGGAGCGACTGATTCAATAGTCTATTTTCCCGCTCTCACCAACAAACGCGTTTGATAAAACAAAAGAATATCAAAAGCAGCGAGAATTTATCTTGAGTACAGTTGTTTATGGAAAGAACAAAATTTCATAGTTTTAATTTGAATGTTCGGCTCCAGTTATCATATTACCCCCTTAAATATACTTGTACTTATTTTCAGTTTTCTTGTCAAATGTTTGGGAGTTAGATTTTCTAAAGTTCATGCTTTTTTTTTTCAAGCCAAGAGATGATACCTGAACATCATTGCAATTAACATTATATAGCCCTTTGACATATTTTTTCGATAAAATTCTTCACAAGGAATTCGGTAGCATTTTTGTATTAAACTTGACAAAGACTTAATAGATAGATTTATGCTATGTGGGAATAACTTATTTAAGAGAAATAGAAATAGGTAGCAGTACCTTCTTCATATCGGTGCCCATGTGGATGGATCTCTCCATGACAAAAAAGACGTAGATGCCGACGATGACCATGACCAGTTTCCACTTGTAGTCGGGTATTGGACTGTCCTCGCCCGTCATTCCTAAGGACTGTAAGATATAGGGGATAACTCAAAATAAATATGTTCCGTGGGAAATAGCAAATATACTAAGGGATATTTTCTTTTGTTCGACCAGCATGCTTTGAGGGTTAGAAAAAATGATTTTTTATTAGAAATGAAAACATTTATTAACATTCTTCTGTGAAACAAAGAATAACGTAACACACACACAGGGGCAAAAAAAGTGGAAATTCGACTGGGTATAATCTACTGTTGAAAGGGAGGTGTATAAACCCCAATTTAAATGATTTTCACAAATGCGAGGAGTACTGGTTAGTTTCTTATCAATAATAAATAGATTGTGTATATTATGAACCGAAGCGCGACTCAAAAAAGATAAATTAATATGAGACTAATATAAACTTTCGCCACTTTAGGGGTAAGTTTGGAAAATCTCACCCCATGGGCCCGAAGCATTGCCGAATGCCAGACATTTAAGAATCTGACCCCGAGGTTTCAGAATTTTCTGTCTTGCTGATAAAGTCGGGAATCATTATTTTTCTCCCACATCACATACGAGTGGTTATTAAAATCCAAACGATGATTTAATAATTTCCAGCAAATTGGAGATTTAATTGTCTAATTGGGAAGAATAAGAAGTCCACCAACAGGTTCAATCACCTGGTATCACAAAGGACCCAAACAATGACTCGACGTTGCATTACGCCTGCTTTTATAAGATTATAATAATAATAATAATTAGAGGTCCTTATATACCGCTTTATCACAACCTAGTCCGTAGGTCGTCTCAAA